GTCGCATGCGGCGGGTCAGCCCGCGATACTTGACAGACGTCGCAGCTGTAAGCGGGACATACGATTTGCGTTTTCTCCACGGTAGTCAGCCAAAGAGAAGATAACATAGACAAATGCAAATCGTTCGCTCCACTCACGCTTGATGGTACTGTAATGACATCTCAAGACCTCAGTGGAGTACGCCGCGCGCGAAGTGGGCGGGGTGACCTAATTTCGACGGACACGCGCAACGGAACCTGCTGTCGTGCTGCCACTCTTCCTCTAAACGTCATTGGAGGCTCGATTATTTCATAAAACTCCCCACTTTTTTCGGGTGGTGTGCTGTCTTCGCTGTATAAGAGCCCTTCTAATGTGTTCCATATGCGCAGCGTTCCCACGCTGACAAAGCGCGGTAGGAATCCAACAGAAACCAACAGAATTTGGTGAGTGGATTGAAGTGGAATCACCGGAGACATTCCGTAGAACTCGCCTTCTTTCCTCCTTTACCCTTTTTGCCACATGACGTCAGTACAATGAGAGCGATAAGAGCAAAATAGCAAATATGGACAAAGGGCGTAACAGGAACCATCTGAAAAGATTGTAGTTTGTGTAGAGACAATGAAGAAAAGGACCTTCACCACTTACCGTTTCTTTCTACTTCCGGAATACTGTTCTGTGAAATATGAGACGAAATTACAACGTAGCTTGCAATGCTAGCAGAAGTATGCGAAATGAGGCTTACCGATGAGAACTGCACAATATCTCTGCATAGATACAGATTTTCGATAAGCGTAGCTAATGAATGATGTAAACAAAATCGCCTTATTTTCGAAGTAAGATTTCATTGATTGAAGGTTATGAGTTTCAGTGTGGTTTTCAAGATTGCCATACATTGTCTATCATTGTGGGCGAAGGTAGTGTAGTGGCAAGTAGCGCACTATCACATACGAATGGCGCGAGGAACGAGTTTAAAGACACGGTTCACGATGGAAATGGTTTCTGAGATTACTCTATAGTATGAACTCGAGGCTCCTCTTTATATCATACCTGCCATTATAAGATCGAGAACGTTTTGGGTAGGGTACAATAAGGGGCCAGAGATTGTATTGTGTGAATGCCACACCCATATTGGACGACTTTCAACGGCTTTGTGGAGGCTGCACTATCTCAAGAGGTTACCATGTAGGAATTTACCAAACAACTCTTCATAGGCCATCGCGACAGTGAAAGGCAGTTTTGGGCAATTCTGGCTTGATGTAGCCATCTCTTTGTGGGATGTGAGCAAGTTAAATCATGCACTAATCTTCATCAACACTTCCGCTTTTCAACCTAAAAGGGTACCTCGAAATCACAGTGAACTGTGCCTTTGAGGTAGATACTCGCTCAGGTCAACCAATTCTTCAACTCCCTCGTAGTCGAATAACCGGTACCAGACCGTCTCATTTATAAAAATACTCACTTGTACTTCGGCTACCCTCCGCAATTTTTTTTTCGTTCTTTGTGCGTGCGAAATCGAGGAAGGAATACAAGAAACCCTTTAGCACTGCTACTCTAACTCACTTTCAATTGACCGGTTCGGTGCTGCGATGTGCTTCGTACCCTTCAAAGTGTAGCAATGTGTTTTCTTGATGCCTTCCTACCGTTTCTATCTGGTGAAAAATGGAATTATGAATATAAGTATGAATATTTAGGTATTATAGTTTGTTCGTCGATCTGTCATTTGATATTTAAAGTGACTGTGCCATATCTGACCGATTGCTCTCTTTCCTAAGCTCATATAAGCACGACGAGGTTTCCCATGTTTTTGCAATTTCTACGCTCCTTATGGAGATTTTCGTTCTTGATTTCAATGAACACAGGCCACTCATTCAGAATGACCGAACGCACTTCAAAAAGTTGCTGGAGGTTGTCGAATCTTTGCCGGTCCTTGTAATCACTTAATCCACTCGTTATTCCACCAATCAGAAGGACTAGCTCTATCAAATTCTTTTCTGTCTCCGACTCTCCAACTACACAGCTGCTACACTTTCGACGAATAGTAGGTTTGGCTCCTGAAGGATCCCGTCTGGCCAGGGTAGGATCACACCACTATTCAATCGTCGGGTCTACGGTTGGTCCCCGACTTCTTCAAGCTATGTAGCTTGAGTTNGCCGGTCCTTGTAATCACTTAATCCACTCCCCACCAATCAGACGGACTAGCTCTATCAAATTCTTTACTGTCTCCGACTCTCCAACTACACAGCTACTACACTTTCGACGGATTGTAGGTTTGGCTCCTGAAGGATCCCGTCTGGCCAGGGTAGGATCACACCACTATTCAATCGTCGGGTCTACGGTTGGTCACCGACTTCTTCAAGCTATGTAGCTTGAGTTAGCTGCTGTTCATTCGTAGTATTGAATTATTCTGCTTTTTTTCTCTTCTTTATGCCTGGTATATTCAGTCGCGACTCTTTGGGACTTTTGGGAAGATCCCTACATAAATCTGCTTCTCGTATACCGGATCTTGAAAATCTGTTGCCATCTCAACCGGTTTGTCTGTTACAACCTAGCAGACGAAGTTTTTTCTTCAACTGATAATCTCTTCCCATGCGATTCTTCGCATGACGCATTGAATATTGAAGGTTTTATCATAGGATTTCGGTATCTCGACGATGTTTGCTATAGCAGTTCGCTTTGTCCAGAAAACAAGTCAATGGCTGGTTGGCAAGGTGGCTGGCTAGCTGGCTGGCTGGCTGCAAACTGGTACAGTCTCAACTGAGACAATCTATCAACCACGTCACTTTGACAAACAGCAACACACCCTGCACCAAACTCATCAACTGGCCGATCACTATCGATGTTAGCTGCGATGTTTGATTAACTACGCATAACTTGCTCTTATTCAATCGCAATCTATCTGGCGCAGCGTAGCCAAACTTTACCGCGCCAGAGTCGGGCATTTGATACCATGTCTGTCTAGAAGAATATAAGCCTTGGCGATCGCAATCTGTTTCCCACCAGGGTAAAGGTGACTCCCACGGTGACTCGTTGCCCGTCCAAGGCCGAGGTTTTGCGAGGGGACCGGATAGGAACGGTTTTGTGTAATCGGTCCGCCGCACGAGGCTGTCGCGGACCATTTGCCCCGCTATAACAGCTCTAACGTTCGTCATACAGCTCGATTGCTATGCGATTGTTACTTCAGGCATGATTCTACTGACAGTTCTTTTGTTCCTGAATTTCTTACTTGCTGCCGCATTCTGCTACACTCCTACGCGCGCGGCGTCCCTCTCACCGCGACGCGACATTTTCGTTGCTACTGCACCACACCTGGTTTTGCGCATTACTCGCCCATCTTGTGAGAGCTCTGCACCGTCATTAGGTGCGTCGAAAGAGCAGTAGATATCAAAAGCAATAGATTAGAAGTAGCGTTTGTTTCATTTTTGGCTTAATCTGAATATCTACATATTTCTCTGCTTTCATACTTTCTTAATACTTCTTGACTTTCACAATCCAGCCTAATGTATCTTATAGACATTCCATTCACATCGTTCATATTTACTTTCAGCTCTTTAGACTTCTATTATAAGTGACCAATTATTGTAGTTACCTTATCCACCCTTGAAGCTTCGAGTGCATGGCGGATTCCGAACAAGCATTGTTTGGAGTTCCACTTTTGTTCTTCCAAGCCTTCTGTCAGAACCATCTGTCACAATTTGCTTCCAGACACTTTCAAGTGTTTTGTTCTTCTAAGCTTACTATCAGAACCATCTGTCACAATTTGCTTCCAGACACTTTCGAGTGTTTACAGTTCGATCCCTCAAAATGCTGAACTTCAACGGAGCGATCTCAGCCGTCCATTTCTAGGTCACACAAGAATCACAGCTTATTAAGACGTGATAATCGACATTTCGCGAAATAATTAGTTCGCAACTTCCAGTGGGGGTGGGTGGGGGTATGACAAAGTTGATTGAGTTCTTTTTACCATAAACAGTTCGACCATTGGCTGGTTCCTACTTTCACCCAAAACTCAATTTTATAAAACTCCACCCTTTGATTCACATTTCAAAAAAAAATCGTCAATGGAAGTAATTCGGTCAAGAAGAAAAAGTACGGTACCACATCCACTTCAAATAATTTGTCCCGAATCCGCTTTTTATTCTGAGGTGTCGGAATTTGAATCGCTATGGTAACTCCATGCAAACCTTGCATTTCCTTTCTGAGAGAGCAGTGCCTGCCATATCTGTTCCTACCTCTTTTCTTTGGCATTGACTGACATCTCAGCTCGCTTGAATTTTCTTTGTGTTTTACGCTTTTGCCACGATTTACGTAGGCTGCCGAATGATCTGGTGCAAACAGCCCATTCGTAAAGGGGCAAGCACAAGCATGGCTTAACCTTGACATGGCTCAAGCCTAGAAGTACTGGATACGCTACAAGGAACCAAGGGGAAGATTCTGAGGAGGGTGCTAGGTGTTTGAGGATAAAGTGTTTCTTGCACTTTTACACATCAGTGGGGTGGTTGATTAGTTCCATCAAAATATTTATACCAGCTGACACTGTCGTAGTATAAACAAGAAAACAACTACAAGGACGTGTTTTTCGTTCATGAATTTATTACCATCTCAGCAGTCGTCTGATTTGATTCGATTCAAAAGGTTTCTCGCAACTGCTCCTCTCAAAAATGAAGACCTTAGACCTCTCAAGCTGAAGGTGTAACTGAAGGGGGAATACTCCCTTAAACAGGTGTTATAGATAATAGAATAGAGGTGAAGATCGCGGAGGCCACTGACGGGTAGTATACGGTGTAGGCTCACCCGTGAGCACCCGAATTGTTTCCATCGTTGATTGCTTCTTCTGAATGATATTCTCTAAAACAATGGAAAGTAAACGCTACACGTCCTCAAAGTTGTTGCAAGAGGTAGCCTCGACCTCCTCTCTCACCTTTTCTCCATGTGAAAGATGAAAATATATGATCCCAGCAATGATCAGTGCATCTTGGAAGTAAGCTCTTTGTACGACTCCTATTTATTTAGAGTCATAATGGCTTCAAACTGTGTGTCCAGCTGAATCATGCTGTTTTAGTGCCAGTGTATTTCACTTCTAGATAAAGCTGATTGCTATTAATTGGCTGCGATGAGTCGGGAAAATGTTGAGAGAGTCTTTGGAATACGTGTGGTGAAACCTCGAGGTCTATCCGCTGTTCCTGGGTGTCGTTGACCCAGAGCTCATAGTAAATAAGCAGCGGATCATGTGGTGTTAATACGAGCCGTAGCACGAAAAGATAGCCTTAGAGAAGCCTAAGGGTAGTCTCAAGACGTTCGTAAAAACTCGTCCGATTTGAAAAGTCGTTTTTTTATTTATTCTCAATAACATTGCACACACATAAATAGTTCTCTATCGTGGTGTTTCTAAAATTCTATTTCTGTGACCAGCTGAGTACCTACACAGTAATAATGTCGTAAACTCATTTGTCATGCATCCTGTCATGCCAGCGTTTCTCTTCGGCACTCTTTCGCCAGTTATTGTTCCGGAAATTCTAATTCCAACCAGTTTTTCATTTTTGAACCCCGGGGATCATTATTTCCTCGCTCCTGATGTATTACAAAAATAAACGATGGAATCTCTGCGTTATTGGGTTAACGTCTTATCAGGATCCCCGTATTCGACCGTATTGAATGCGTACGTGGCCTATACATTGATTTGCGGTGACCGGCTGATGTACAACTCAAGGTTTTTGTCTTCCCAGANGAGTCTGGCACGGGGAACGTTTATCCCGCTCGTCCGTCCAAATTAGGTCACCCCGCCCATATCGCGCGCGGCACAGCCCACTGCAATTTTGAGACGTTACAACACCATTCAGGTTCGGTGGAGCGAACGATTTGCATTTGTCCATGTTATTTTCCCTTGGGCTGATTCGTATGCCGCACTGACAACTGCGATACTTATCAAAAATCGCTAGTCGATGCGCCGCGTGCGACGGCTGCGACTTGACCTGATGGACATTCTGACGGACGCGCACAACGAAGCGCACCCGTGTGGCACTGATCAAGCGACCCAAAGAAATTGAGGGTTTGACTTGTCACTACACCACATCCCATATACCGCTGATTCATTTGATTGGTTTGAACTTTCATCTTCAGATTGCCTGTACAATCTCCAGTTTCTTGTTCGCCGTGCACGTCTTATTAGTTCTTACTCAATCCATAGAATGAATCACGATTTAAAAATCTGATTTTCAGGCATAAATAGAAGCTGGATGATCGATCTACCGGATGCAGACGAATGTGAGTTGATTGAAGATTTTTTTTTGTGCTTTGTGATGACTTCTGTCGAAACTCGCTATATTTGCTCGTGATTGTTTTCTGCTTTCAATGAGAATTGTTTTAGTTGCAGTTTTTTTTGTGCCGGGCATGTCTTTATAATTAATTCCATGAAAGTAAGTGATGGGGTTTATTTGACGTGTCGATTTGATCCGACCCCTATCCCTAGTGGTGATTTTTACTATTAACACTACACCTATTTACCCTATTTACCTAATGGTATATAAAATAACTTGCTATTTTTGCGGAAGTTTGGAAAAAAACTCGACGTAGCTGTTGCATCGCTCATTTTCCTACATTATACTGAATTCATACTGTAATTGTTAATTAATCCCCATGTACATAGATGGACTGCAGTAAAAGTAATATTTTAATTTATTTAATTGTGTTGGGTTTGGGAGGTTAATTGTTTTTCCTGTTTTTACAATTCGCTTTCCCCCTCAGCAAAATCAAAAGGAAATCGACTTTTCAACCCTAAAATTATTATTTTTTAAAATTAACAAATTTTTTTTTATTTTCTCCAATTATTACTATCCCATAAATAACTATTATTATAAATGGTTGACAAAACAAATTTTATTAGGAATAGCTCGCCAAATTAAAATATTATTTAAATTTTTTATAATTTTTTTAGGGTAAAATATTATATAATTTGTTTTTTCTAATTTGAATGTGAAAAAATTACTCCGGAGTTAACAAAAAATCATATTTCATCCAGAGGTAAAATAAAAATAGTGGTAAAATGAGTTTTACATCGATGTTGTTTTTAAAAAAAATTAAAAAAGGAGAAATTTCAATAATTTAGACTGTTCTACGATCTAGAACTTGCCTCCCTTGAGAAGACCTTTCATTAGTGCTTCCTCACTTCCTTCTTTCTGAGACCTATTACACTACTAGGTCGTTGGTAGGGAATATAGAGTTGTCCTCAAAGCAATTTTATGGGAGAACATCAAAAGGATTATTTCGACCCCATGACTCAATCCATTCGTCCCTGACTGTGAACTCTTGCGAGCGTTTACTATGAAATAGGAGAGGAAGGGTAGTGTGATCTGTTCGAAGAGGTCTAAGCCTAAGCATTGAACGGATTTAGCTCAATATCCTTATTTTGCTATTTGGCTAGTCAAATGGGGATCACGTTTCCTTTTTGAAAACTTCCTGTGGAGCATTCTATACTTTATTTTCTTATCTCTTTTTTTTTTTGATTAATCATTTAAAGAACTTCAGTATAGCCATAGCAATTGAAGCACCCTCCTATTTTCTCGCATGAGCTTCTCTTCGGTCCTTCCTCTGTTTCAGCAGAAACCATTCGTACTGAAGGTCGTTGACGGCTAGTTTTCGTGAATGACATCATTCTAACGAGGAATGGCGCTACGACAACTTGCAGGGGGCAAGGTCGTCAATCCAAGCAGTATGATCGGTCATGCGGCGTTTACCAGTAACTCTACGAAAGAAAATTGTGGGAATGAATTCAGTGGGAAATGCTGCAGGATCGAACTTTACTGCAGGTTTAGCGGTGGCGATCCGTTGTACTAGCTCTGCTAGAGTAGTTAAGCCCCGTGCCCGAGTAGAAATTCCTATTACTAGGAATTGCTTTCTCATATCTTTCTCATCGCAGGCTATTTGTAAGTTTTCATGTGATGGAATTGTACTTCCCTGACGTGATCCCCTTACCCTCGTTTTTAAGTCTACGGCTTAAGGGAGATCATATGTGTGGGTGAATGTTAACTTCCTGTCAGCATACATATGTACATATGTTTGCTCACTGATCTTATTAGGTACAGTAGCGCTCAAAAGTATTCGGCCAAATGCTTCTTCATTCGTACTTTTCAGTCATAACTCCTTTCCTACTGGTTCTAATCGAGCGAAATTTCAATATGTGTAGCATTGGAGTAGTGTGAACATTTACCACTATTAACCCTCAATCTGATCATGTTCCTCCTGAAGAGCTTGAAATCAAAACCAACTGGAAATACAGACATTGGTGCTTTTACGTTTTCTTTCCTTTTTGCCATGTCTTAAGTGTGCGAGCACTAATGTCGAACTCAGAAGAGAAGAAAAACGTACACAAGGTCGGATTAACTGCAGACGTCATAAACTTGCTTTCAGCACAGCCTACAAACGCCTCCCCATTAGTATGTGGATATGGCTGCTTTGCAGTCAAATAGTGTTGGATAGTGTGAAGTATGCTTCAGTTAAACATATCAAAATTTCATGTGATTTGCTCCACTGAGAAAAAAGTTACGGCCGAAAAGGCTTGGCCGAATACTTTTGAGCGCTACTGTATTTGCTCACTGGTCTCCTTAGATATGTAATTAGCTATCAAGTACGAGATACGTAGTGTCACATAGTGGAGGGAACCGAAAAGTTTCTTAACCCGAAGGGTTA